ATAGATATAGATATAGATATAGATATAGATATAGATATAGATAGATATATATAGATATAGATATATATATGATCTTATGCTTGCCTTCTTAGATCTTATCTGTTAGATTTATGTAGAAAATTCAGTTGTAAAATACATACTGGTAGAACTATATTCTTCACTTTAGCAAGAACATGCGAATATATGCTAATGGATAATATAATAAAAATCATCCAAATAATGCTTGGCCTTCTTTCTTCTTTCAGTCAAAATTCTGATGGAGAAATCTCATTCCAGCAGAATTTTCTTTAAGTCTATGACAACTTGGTGACACAACCACTAGCCCAACATAATGGGGATGTCTAGCTAGAACTCTCTGCAGCAGAATTCAAGTAACATGGCAGTGGGATCAAAGAATATAATAGCTTCGGACCTCTAGCAACACATGTTTTAAATATCTTGATAAATACGTTATAAAGATAAATGCCTTTAGTTAGCTTTTCACTACTATAGTTAGCTGGAAACTACTATAAACTGGGCACATTGTGATAAATGCAGAAAGGACATTGAATCTAATTTTCATTTGATTTCTCTCAGAGACTTATACTTTTGCTAGAATTCTAGTTCTCTACATCATATGCTTTCATATTGTTTTTAAAGTATGTCCCAAAATGCATACCCAAATCAGTAATTTACCCAAACCAGTATAGGCTGCCAGCCCATATTTGCCAGGCAGGCATGTTTGCTCTATAATATTGGCCTGTCGTGCAAAAATGGAAAGAGGAGTTCCCTCTAAGCGGTTTACAGAGCGGTTTACAGAGTCAGCATATTGCCCCCAACAATTTGGGTCCCCATTTTACTCATCTTGGAAGGATGAAAGGCGGAGTCAACATTGAGCTAGTGAGATTTCAACTGCCAAATTGCAGGCAGCCAGCAGTCAGCAGCCTGCAGTATTGAACTCTAACCACTGCACCACCGTGGCTCATGATATGAAATACCCTCAATTGGTGCCATGTAGCAGTGGCCTATCAAAAAACTATTTGGCATGTCTTACAAACTCTAGTCTCCTCAGCAAGTTGATATAAATTCAGGAAAAACTGTCCCTTGAAAATGTGACCCAGATATCTGTTATGACTGAAAATTTGATCAGTATAGTATACTGGGGCCTTTTCATATTGCAGAAAATCTGGTTACCTCAGGTGGGTAGGAACAGATATGCTTCACACATTAATTAAATCTATTTTGATGTTTGATGCAACTAAAGCAACCATCCCATACATTGGATAAGAATTATGGACCTTCTAGCTCCAACAAATCTGGAGGTCACCAGGTTTGAAGAATGCTAATCAAAAGTTAATGTTGTCTTCCATTAAATGCAACTTTAGTCTGATCCTAGAAAAGACATTGGCTGGAATGTTGAAAAACATTTTGCAATAAGCTCTATCTCATGTACAGTATTCCATGTAATCAGCCCAGGGGAGAATCTCAGTCTTAGCTTCTTTGTGAACAATACAAATGGCAGTAACATGACATACGGTACTTTCATCTGTTAAGAATCACAGACTGTAAAACATATGTTAGCACATCAAAACCTTGCAGAGAAATATTCATCAACATAAAGCCCATTTGATAGTATTTAAACTTAATTAGTTAGCCAAGATCACCCCCTCCTACCCCCTTACAACACGCTAGAAGGCAGAACTCGCTGAATACAAAAATATAGGAACATCTAAAATGTGTGTGAGAATTAAAAGTGTGCTATTAGAAATATAAATAGTCCTCAACGTATGACTACAATTGAGCCCAATATTTCTGTGAAACATTTGTTAGGTGAATTTTGCCCTATTTTATGACCTTTCTTGTCCCAGTTGTTAAGTCAATCTGGCTTCCTCATTGACTTTGCTTGTAAGAAGGACGCAAAAGGTGATTATATCACCCCAGGACACTGCAACGGTCATAATTATGAGTCAGTTGTCAAGTTGTCCGAATTTTGATCACATGACCATGGGCAAGCTGCAATGGTTGTAAGTGTGAAAAATGGTCATAAGTCACTTTTTTCAGTGCCGTTGCAGCTTTGAAAGGTCACTAAATGAACTGTTATAAGTCAAGGACTACCTGTTAACTCTTATATGATTTGGAAGTGTGTTAGAACCACCTTTTGTTAAAAAATAAAATATGAGACTCAAGAAGTTTGGGGTGTTCTAAATAATATTCTCAAACTGGCCTGCTGAGAGAGAAAATGAACAACATTATATGGTTCTCAAATAATAAATACAGGCTGCAGAATAATACAAATGTAATAGAAAGTGCTTGTTAGAATAACTTTTATCAAATCAAATATAACAGGCAATTATTACTTTAGGTCAAGAAGTTGTTATTTTAATGTTTCATGATAAACTATTAAGATCACCTTTCTGGCTCTTTCAGACACCAAATAGCAGGATATAAATACAGTAATAAATAGGGATTTGCAACATTTAACAGTATTACCACTAATGGTAGATATCCCAATTGAACATACTAGCAGTTTATTGTTAAAATATAAAGAGAATCCTTCCCAAATTGTAAGTCACTTCCGACAATCCAAGGCAAAATATGGTTGTATGTTTATATAACCAAAGGTTTAAGGGTGGAGATGTTAAGGTTGGGTTGGAAAAAGGGGAAATAAAGTCATTGTGGAAAGAAATCCAATATACACCGGAATTATTTTCTCTACAGTGTGGTCTAATTCAGGAAAAACAATACCTAAGAGATAAAAACTTATGAATGTTTTGACAAAAAATTGATTACATTAAAAAAAGTTAAAGTTCTCCAGATGTTTAACCACTCTGTGTTGCCCTTGCACAGCTGATTCAAATAAAAGGGCTGGCACTGCACCTAGCAAAGCTTTGTAGTCCTGCAGAGTCCTGGGAATGGAGGCTTATTGAAAGAAAAAAACAAGAAAGTCTTCAAAAGAAAAAAGCAAGAAAGTCCAGTTGCCTCCAGAAAAAGCACCTTTGGGACAACCATGACCTGGATGACTGAGAACCTCTACACACTTTTAGGCTATTGAAAGGTTTGAACAAACAAGGAAGATCTCTGAGTAAGTACTGTACGAAACTGGAGCTCTTCTAATTAATACTGTTATATGGGCACTGTTTTAAGTACTTTAGTAAGTCAGTAAGTGCAGGGCAAGAGATGGCAGGTTCCCTTCCTCCCCTAGAATGAATCAGGGATCATGATGAACTTACTCAAAGGGACGAGCAGCTCCTGTAAGCTTAATGTTTAACTTTCCTCAACATTACCGTTTTGTAGACAAAGGAATGCTCTGGTCACCCATTTTGCTTCTCAAAATAAAGTTTGGGGAAGATAAGACACTCTTAGTCTAATTTCTTTTACTTTGTTGGCTGATGTGAAAATGAGACACTCAATTACTAGTGATTATCTGAGCAATGATTGGCTAAGAAATCTCAGCACTTCTTTCTGGCAGAAAGGGACTGTTATGTTTGGACTACAGCAGGGGTGTTAAACTCAAGGCCTGTGGGCCGAATTTGGTCTGCGGGGTGCTTAGATCTGGCCTGTAGGGCTACCCTGGAAACAGCGAAGGACTGGCCCACGGTGCTTCTGCCAGAGAAAATGGAGCTCGGGAAGGTTGCGTGCTGCCCTCCCAAACTCTGTTTTTGCTGAGGGTTGGAGGAGGCTGTCGCAGCTGAAAACAGAGCTCGGGAACCCGTTTTCACTGGCAGAGTGCTTGGGCCACCACCTACACCCCGACATGAGTGATGTTGATCTGGCCACGCCCACCCTGGCCACACACCCCCAGCCCCCCCAAGGTCAAACACAACCCTGATGTGGCCCTCAATGAAATCAAGTTTCACACTGCTGTGCTACAGGTTTGAAATACAGAAGTGCCTTTAGCATCATGTTGACTAAAATTATGAAAACCTGATACCCAAATTCTCCTTTGTTTTAGTTCTACAGTCAGAAGACTAGATTTCTGAATTGTGGGTCATTTGCTTAATTGATCATGAGAATCTGAGCCCTTTGAGCCTTAGTTTCTCAAACACATTTTCTGCTTCTTAAACACAGTAAAAACTTTATTAGTGCTTATAGTTGCAATTGAAACTAATCAAATTCTCTCATAGCTAAACATGGCAGTCTGAAGCTTTCATGATCTATTTTTTTTAAAAAAACTTTATTTTGAATAAAGGAAAAAGAGATCCATTTAGTGAAAGTGAAAAGTTAGAAATGTTACCAAAGCCACAATTTCTCAAGATTCAGATGAGAATCTGCTAAAATTTGTCAGAGTATATTCTATAATTACACTAAAGGCTTCCATTTCCAGATTAGGAAGAAAGTGCCATAGGATAGGTTTGAGCACAACATTGTAAAATGTTACTACTCATACAACAACAAGGTCTGCAAATATCAGCACACCCACCAGATGGCAGGGTTTTGTGGCTTCTTTCTGCCATCTAGTGGTTGCAAAATTTTTGTAGCACATACAGGTAGTCTTCGACTTACGACCACAATTGAGCCCAACATTTGTGTTGTTAAATGAGACATTTGTTAAGTGAGTTTTGCCCGACTTTTCTTGCCACCGTTGTTAAGTGAATCACTACAGTTGATAAATTAGTAACCTGATCGTTAAGTGAATCAGCCTTCCCCACTGACTTTGTCAGAAAGACGCATGACCCTCGGATGCAGCAAGGGTCATAAATATGAAACAGTTGCCAAGCATCTGAATTTTGATCACATCATCATGGGTATGCTGCAAAGGTCGTAACTATGAAAAATGCTCATAAGTCACATTTTTCAGTACCGTTGTAACTTTGAACGGTCACTAAATGAGCTGTTTTAAGTCGAGGACTGCCTGTATTTTGTAGTCATTTGGCAACATTTTAAATGTCTTTCAGGAGCATAATAAGAAAGCCCACGCCCACGAGTGTAAGAAGCATTGTACCAAAACCAGAAAATCAGCAAAGGTGAAACTGTCTGTCTCCAATGCAGTTTGTTAAAAAGGAAGAAAAGATGCAACTGTATTTAGGAGAACTGAATTTATTTCTTAACAGTCACATTAGAAAGTTAAACATTAAATCTGTGCAAAATACAAATTTCCATGTGAAATTTTTATATACATTTTTTTTTAAAAAAAGAACACTCTAACAAAAATGCTTAATTAAGTTCCAGAAACATTTTAAGTGACAAGGAGTAGAGGAAGAGAATTCCCACTGGTATTGTTTAAGAGATGAGTAGATCTGCAATAGAAATAAGTAAAGCAAAGAGAAAATTTTCATTCAGATGTCCCCCGTACCCCAAACATGCAGAGAATTTTTGTTAATCACAGCAAAAAAAAAAAAAAAAAAGACTACCATTCTGTTAGGGCACATCTGCATCCTTTCCTAATCTTTCCTTTGGGAATCGAAAAGAAGAATCTTTCTCAGATCCTATTTAAAAGCCTTCACTGTTATTTTTTAAAAGTATCTTTTTTTTAACATGCTGCGGAGTCCCTAAATCCTTCAAAGTGGGAACTAAAGCAACCAGTATAACTCGTAGAAGACTGAGGGTCAGCATATTTAAGAACAGAATTATGGTTTCTCTATGTGCTAAACTTTGGGTAATTCCCGATTCGTTACAAAACATTAAGCAGAAATTGATCATTAAAAACCAGCAAAACTGTACATTTTTAACAAAATCCAAGTTGAATATTGTTCTGCAGCATCAAAGTAAGCAGGAAGAATGATATAAATTTCTAAAAATTCTGAAGCCAAGAAAAACGGATTTTGTTTAGCATACTTAAGAGACTAAAATCATTTTGTTACTTTGGGTAATAGGAACATGAAACATAGTTGGATGAGTAAGAATTTTAATAGCATATGATTGAGTTTGGGAATTTCTATTCAGAAAGTATCAACTAAGTCAACTGCAGTGCTCTTTTTCTTAGCTTCTTTGTTGTAGCCGGTCTGTCTTGATTTTAGGGTTAGTTTTAAAATTTTAATATTGATTTTAATTGACAAGTTTTAAATTATGGGCCAAATTTATAAATTATTTTAACTTTATTTTTAACTGTGATGTTTTGTATAGATGTTTTTATCTTGGCTGTTCACCGCTCTGAGTCCGAAAGGAGAAGGGCGGTATAGAAATTTGAATAAAGTAAAGTAAAGTACTATCCATTACTTTTATGAATCATAAAATCAGACTGATTCCTTCCAATTCCAGAATATTTAGAATTATTCTCCCCCTGAACAAGCAGAGAAATTCCTATTTCTACTCTCAACTACCAATAATTAAAATAAACCTGGTGTAAATTATCCAGCTCTGATCCATCCTTTCAGACTTAATAAGGCTGGCAGAAGGACAGAAAAAAGCCAATTATAAACAAGAGAACCCACTAGCAAAGGGCAGAATTCTTCTACCTTTTCTTATGAAAATAGCCTTGTCTCCTAGAGGGAAAACACACATTGCAAATACAGTTTCTCCTCAGGATAGGAATGATAATAATTCTGCATAGAACGTCTTTCTGTTTCAATGTTCTGAGAGACCATTTTGAAAAAAAGTAAAGTAATATACCACCTTAAGTACTGTATTTGGTGTTTAAAATACGTTTCATAATAGCGTTCTCAATTCTTAGACTAAGAATCTTAGTGAAAAGAAGATGAAACAAGTTTGGGAGGAGGAATACATGGGAGTGGGAGGAGAGGAGACTGTTCTGTCTGTTTTGTCCTTCAGGGCCTTTACATTTACAAGCAAAAGCTTGCAAAATATGTAAATTATGCTGATGTCACAGCAACATGAATCTGCGTTTCAGATAAATGCATTAAAATCCCTTAAGGAATGAAATCTGTGTCTTTCAGTTTCCGGACTTTACTTAAATCTTTGTATTTGTACCAATTGAATGTTAAGAAACAATCAGGGATTCATGTTTTAAGATTACTTTCTATATAGTTATTGCTAAAGTGATTTGTAAAACTAAAAGGCCATTCCCCTGATCCCCTAATATTTACTAGACCAACAGCTACAGTTTAAGGAGATGCAGGTGCCTGAGCAAAACTTTAATTATTGCAAAGAAGGAATTAAAAACCTCATAGAAATGCCTTATGATTTAATTTGAATAATTTCTTTTTAAAAAATAAGTTTGGAACGCGTGCAAAGATAAGAGCTACAATGCAGAGAGGAAACACTTGGAAAGAAGCAAGCCAGAAGTTTTGACTGTCAGCTACAAATCAGGGTAAGTGACCATGCAGATTCTTATTTTGTATTTAGCACGCGCGCACACACACACAAACACACACACACACACACATACACCTCTAGTATGTTTAAACGCTAGTAGGGAGTATTAGGCATTCATCGCAACATGGAAAAAAAGGAAGCATAGACAATAATAATCTTACACCAGAAATGGTTCAGCCAGTGAGGGGCTGTAGCACTGGAATGTTGAAATGAACTAAAGACAATGTAAAATATTGGAAAAAGAAAGTAGTCAGAACAAGCTAACTGTAAATCTTTGGTTACATAGCACTAGATACATTGCACTGATACCGTAAAATAGAACAAATGAACAGTAATTCTTCTTTCTGATCAGCCAAAAATATTAAATAACCACATTTATTAAATTTCAAGTATCAAATAATAGTAGCTATCAAAGACTGTGAAATGGCAACGGACTTCAAACGATCGATTTCGAATATGACTAAGCCAAAATAAATGATTCTGCATTTATCTGAGACTGAATTTGGATTTACATGTACAATATATTGGTCACATCTTCTTTTTTAACCCCAAAGCCACCTCTAAAGCTTTTCTAAGAAACCTTCATTTAATGTGCAAAGGACAAGGAAGTAACAAAATACCGTAGCCAAATAGAACATAGTTATTTGTGTACATGTGACTGGACATAACTCAAAAGAAAATTCTGGCCTTTTTACAGTGATCAAACACACCTTCGGAAATGGTTGGATAATAAGTCCCCCTTGGAGTGAGATAAACAACTGGATAAACAAAACTGTATTGTGTAATGATTATCAGTGGCTTCAAATAATATAAATGGACCCTCCTTTTCTATGCATTGCATTCAGACTATTAGATAATACCGGAAGTGTTTGAAGAGTTTCATTTGTGATAAATTTTTGATACACAAATCAGTTGAAGTTGTAAGACCATGTTTCCCCGAAAATAAGACCCTGTCTTATATTTTTTTGAACCCTGAAATAAGAGTTTGGCCTTACTGCCATGCGCTAAAAAGCCCGATTGGGCTTATTATCAGGGGATGTCTTATTTTGGGGGAAACAGGGTAATTAATGATTGTGCAACTAACAAGTCAAATTATAGGCAAATAAAATATGAACATAATTTAATAAGGTTGAAATTATTTTTTTTTCAATGTAAGATACACTGAAGCAAGCAGTGCAAAACGTATTTGTGTTCTCTTACTTCTTCACCCTTGAAGTTGCCCTAAAATAATTCATAGCAGAGAGCTAAATTTTATTCAGGTTCAACTTGTGATATGGACTGCAGAGTTGTATCCATTAGCCAGCACAAGATGCTGCTAGATCAAATTTCCCTTCTCTTACATCTTCTTAGAATTGGAAACTCTGAAAAAGGCATGGGGTGGGGGGGTGGACACCGAAAACTGTTGCATAAGCAGAAACTATGTGCTAGGGAGACCTTGAAATAACTACAGAGGTTTTTATGGGGGATGGGGAAGGGTGGGTTCACACGTTTAGAGCTTGCCCATCATAAATTGATAAATGGGAGGGCTGCAAATTTTCAAGGGCAGGAGGAGAAATAATATACAGACAGCTGGGGAAACATGACTGGGGAGAAGAGGAAAGCCAAGCAGAAAGGCAAGGCAGGAAGATCATGCTCAGATAGGCAGATTAGGGGTGAGGAGTGGGGAGCCTTGATTTTACTAACTGGGAGGAAAAAGGCAGGCTTGCCCAGAGCCAGGCTCAAAGCCATGGTGGGCAAGATGAAGGTCCCAGAAAATTGGTCTTGCAGGAGAGCACTTTGGAAACATAGGGTGCCTCAGTAAGTGGCCTTTCGCTTTGGAAACATAGGGTGCCTCAGTAAGTGGCCTATATGGTAGGCTGCTCTCTTCTTGAAGAATATCAAGAAAAACATGGCAATCAGGGGAAAAGGGAATTCAGTAATGCAGCTGCTGGTATGTTGAGACAGACTAAGACTCAAATTTGTAATCCCAGACAAACCTGAATTGTTGTCAAATACCATCTTACTCTGCCTGGGCAAATCAGTGGCCACACCATAGGCAGTACAATTGTATGGCAAGAGGGGATAGTAGAGTAGTCTCAAGAAACTAGTCATGCGAGAGTAGGAAATACTGTTTACAGCTTCCCTACCTCTGCTGCTCATCACTGCAGAAGAGAGGTGACCAGAAAGCCTTGATCCCAGGTCCAAGGGATAGAGGATGGAGATCCAACAAGCCTTTCCATTGTTAAAAGAAGCCTTGTTTATTGGTACAGCAGTACTCTGAGTTTCCACAGTCCACACTGGCTTCTGATAATTTAGCTCCTTTTTCCACCCTGTTCTTCCCTGGATCTAGTCCCTTGCTCCATGGTCTCATCTGTCAGATGATGCACATTCGGGCATGCTTCTTAGGAATTGAGCACCTAAAAGCACCATTGTGCCTAGACAAGCTAGCAGTAGAACTGAATTCTCAGTGGGTTCTGGCTTTCTGTGTACCTAATGGCACAATTACTATTAATAGCGAGGAGGAACTCATTGGTTTTATTCATGGAGGGGTGTCACACAAATCCCTTTACTATTTCAGAGGGTTCACAATATCACAGCATTTGAATTGGACCACCTAAAATTCTTATATGCAAGCAAATCATTAACAGAGCAAATATTAGCCCTCTTTTAAAAATAATTTTAAAAGCCTCTTTTCATCATCATTGTTCATTTAATTAAAGATTATTGTCATGTACTGTGCTTAACACTACATCTCTCCATTCCAATGAAACAAATAGGACAATTTTCCAAGTAGGAATCCATGAGACTAAAGGTGAAAATAGAACAGCATGTATATTTAAGAATAATTCCAATGTACCAGTTAATCCTTTAACAGGCTAGCTCTAAATTAAATCTTTATTGATGGGTTTTATGAAGTTGTTTTTATTCTGTTTAATGGTAAATTAAGATTACATTATACAAATAATATTTATGTAATTGAATAGCTGCAGGATGGGTATAGAGAACCAGAGATATATTCCAGGTGAGCTGTTTTTCTATCAGCCAAAAGTCAAATTGGTTTTAATTTCAGGAGCCAACAGCTATGATCATCTGAACTTTTTAAAGAGTGTACAAGCCTCATAATTGGACTTTATTTTTACAGCTATTTCCCAAAACTTTGAAGAAGCACGTATTCTTCAAAGATAAATTAGGGCAATAAGACAGTCAACTAAAAGGATCCTATTAATTATTTATATCTTAAATTTATCCACAGATATGTGGATAAATCTTCTATAATGGCAAAATAAATTTAAGGCCCTATACCTTTTCTCTTTCAGTCAAATGTGGCTTTTATATCAAGTGAATATAATTCTCAGCCATATCCTAATTTCTATGAGACTCTATGGTGTCAAAAAGTTCTATGAAGTCAATAACAGAAACTGAAAAATTCTCCCTCTTTTTCAAATTATTCCATTTTTATACTATTCTGATCTTTACAACTTTGAAAAGATTGACTGAAGAAAAAGTATTCTAACATAGATACATCTTACCTTCCATATCAGCTCTAGATCAACTCTAATATAAATTAACAAAATTGCCCCTTGATTTGAGAAAAAATAAATATAGGCTATTGTTGTACTTTGGTTTATTTTAATTAATTGTCTAATATTTACTCTTTGAATTAATTCATAAATATTACAGAAAATGCCCAGTGTTCACAAAGGGTCTGTCAAAGAGACGTCAAGACAACTATTATGGGCTAAGTATACATTTCAACTTTTTAAAAAAACCTGATGCAGACAGTAGCCCCATAGATAAAGCAAAAGTAGAAAAAGTATGTGCCACATTCAGTTTTCAAAAAAAAACTCCACATAGTAAAAATTTACTATTGCCCTATGTATGAAAGTTCTTCCTTTCACAGTCATTAAAATAAGAATATCAAAATGTAAACATAGAGGAATATCTGTTTTTTAACTAGAAATAGATCCGTCACGTAATTTTTTTAAAAAAATCTATAAAACTATCCTTCATAGCGTCTCCATGGTTGAGAAATGAATTCGGACACTAACATTCATGATCCAATAATCATCATAATAATAAATGAATGATTTTACAATTGCACCATGGAGCTCTGGGCTCATTTAAAGCACCTACTGAATTGAAATATTTATATTTGTGCAAAACCCCAAAGCTGTTTGTTTTGGAAATCTGAAAGGCACAACCAAGATTCAGAAGAATTTTAAAGCTTGAAAAATTTCTTCACCGATTCAAGCATATCCTCATATGACAACTCCACTTCCCCGTAAAAATTGCCAAGTAACTCCTGAAGCACAAAAAAGAATGGCATGCTAAAGCTTAGGAGTTCATACAAGTAGATATAGTTGTATGCATTGTCCCTGAAATGAAGTCTGGTTGCGTGCAGGAAACCATGCATCCAGTTAGAGAGGCGTCTTGGAAGGTCAAGCAGATCCCTGGTCACCTTAAGAGGCCAGCATAGAGTTTTCCCAAAGAATGAAGGCAGGATACCTGGCGACTGGTCTTCTGAACTGCTACTAGTAGCAAAAGCACTTTCTGAGCTAGTTTCTTCACACATGGGTTCTTGATGCCTCTGAAATCCTGCTTCCTCCTTTAAAGAGAAATAAATTAACAGGATGCTCATCTTCAATATTTCAAATATTAAAAAAACCCATTTATTTATTGTCTACATTTGTGTCCTGCCATGATTCAGAGACTCTCTAGATCAGAGGTGTCAAACTCAATTTCATTGAGGGCCACATCAGGGTTGTGTTTGATCTTGGGGATCTGGATGGGCATGGCCAGCTTGACATCACTCGTGTTGGGGGCACTTGTAGTGGGCGGGCCTGGGGGCATCATTGTCTCCAGAGGAGGAAGGCAAGACCAGGGAGAGCGCCAAACCCTTGTCCTCCAAAGGAGCCTCACTGTCCCTCTGCAATCCTCTCCTGCAACCCTGTGTGTTTCGTCTGCAATGGCCTCCTGCAATCCTTTCCCAGTGAAAATGGAGCTCCTGCAACCCTCTGCCAATGAAAACGGAGCTCCTGAAACCTTCTGCCAATGAAAATGGAACTCGGGACGACCATTTTTGCCTGCAATGGCCTCCTGCAACAGTTTGCCAGCGAAAATGGAACATGGCCCTCCCGAGCTCCATTTTCGCTGGCAGAGGTACCGTGGGCCAGTCCTTTGCTGTTTCCAGGGTGGCCCTGCGTGCCAGATCTAAGCACCCCTTTTGCTGGATCTGGCCCACGGGCCTTGAGTTTGACACCCCTGCTCTAGATTGCAAAATATTTCTTTGCAAGAAGTTTTGGGTAATCTCCAAAATACAATTTACTTTATGTCAGTGCTTCAACTTAGAAAAACATTACCCTGATGGCCAACTAACTCCAAAATAAGTAAGGGAATATTTTCCATTGAGTTCAAGTTATAAACAGATATCAATTTTCAGAATCAAGGTAGACATAAAGGTCATGTCTTATCTCTTTTCCCTCATGTCTCCTTTCAAAAACTAATAAAAAGCCTTAAGGAGGCTGCAAGAAAGATAGAATGCGAATGCAAAGGATTTTTAATACTTTCTCATCTTGATAAACAGAAAAATGGCAGCCCAGGGAAAGAAAACATGTAATTGTGGTTAGTTTCTTCCTTGCTTATCATCATATGCACCATATTTTCCAGTCAAAATTGAAAAGACATTAGAATGTATTTGATATGATTAGGCTAGGAAAATAATGTAGTTGGGCTTGTTAAAATAATGGAACCATCAGAAATCTCATTGGTGCTTTGAAGTCCCAAGAACAATCATTTGCAATTCTTACATATTTCAGCTCCTCCTTTTCTGCATGTGGCACAAAGACATACCTTGATATAAATGTTTTAAAGCTAGGGTGGCCCACAGACTGAACAAAAACATTTCTGAATGTATCAGTTCAATTCTGCTAAGCGAGACAACATTTTGGATATCCAGTGAACACCCCCATGAAGTTCAAATACAAAGGAGTCTCTGTTAGAATAACATAGATGGTTTCCCTTTTATGTATCACTTCCAATGAGCTGGAATTTGTCTCTTTGTAAACTTCCTACTCTCTGTCATACTTTAGTAGAAATATATATATACCTTTATTTCCACTTTCTTCTTTCTGTGCGTATTCTTTGTTTTACATTGTGCAAAATGAAGCTTGCAGTAAAAATTACCTGAAAAATAAAAGGAATGCCGTTAGGTTTTGTCCCTTCCCCAATGCAATCCGCCAGTTAGTAAACCTGACAGATGGAATGAGTAAAAGGTAGTACACCTTCAAATTTAAGTCATTTTAAGTGACTTTGCTGAAAACCTTTTGGAAAGCAGTGGTTTCATTAAAGAAAAGTCATTTATATGAGGAAAGTTTATTACCTTATTCTAGCAACTGAATGGTCTTATCTTGGGATACCGAAGTCTTAGTAAAGCGGCTAAAATACCACATGTGTTATTTTTGCTGTTGATAATGAAGATGCTATCCTTGCTTGATTTCATATAACTCACCCTTTACCATTTAGTTTAATCTTATCTAGGATCATACAATCAAAATATGCTTAGGGTACGTCATCTTAGCCTCAATACATAAATATTTCTGAGGAGTCCTTGATGCTCTCTGAGCTTGGTTGCTTTTTTTTCAGATCTTTCATTACCTAAAATAGGTAGCATCATCCGTGCTAGTCCTACTATCTGACTATATAGTCCTTCTAGTCCTACTATCGAGGGACACGGTGGCTCAGTGGCTAAGATGCTGAGCTTGTCGATCGTAAGGTTGGCAGTTCAGCAGTTCGAATCCCTAGTGCTGCCTCATGGACTGAGCTCCTGTTACTTGTCCCAGCTTCTGCCAACCTAGCAGTTCGAAAGCACGTAAAAAATGCAAGTAGAAAAATAGGGACCACCTTTGGTGGGAAAGTAACAGCATTCCATGTGCCTTTGGTATTTAGTCATGCCGGCCACATGACCACGGAGACGTCTTCGGACAGCGCTGGCTCTTCAGCCTTGAAATGGAGATGAGCACCGCCCCCTAGAGTCGGGAACAACTAGCACGAATGTGTGAGGGGAACCTTTACCTTTACCTTTAGTCCTACTATCAGTGTGACAAGCAGTTTAGATAATGAAACGCCTGCAAGAAAACAACCAAGCTCAGAGAGCACCAAGGACCCCTCATTTCAACCCTGAGCTACAAATATTCTCCTTTATTGATAAATTAAAAAATATTTTATTGTAGATCTGCATTACCTTCTTGTGCATCAAAGGTATATGTAGCTAGGCGGAGAGTGGTCGCACAAATGACACATTTGAAGCATTCTCGGTGGAAGAAGTGGCCTTCCGCGCTCAATTGTTCCATGACATAAACTCTTTTCTTACAGAAATAGCAGGTTTCGCTTCCACCTATTGTCTGAGGAAATTCTCTTTTCAAAGATCCCTATTGAAAAAAGATATATTGGTAATATCTGAAAAGATATATTGGTAATATCTGAATAACGTTTGTATAACTCTTTAATTTCACTACAAAAAAAGTTCTTTCAGAAGGAAAACTAAGAGTTTAATCAAGAACAGCCTCTTCTGAATTGCTTGACGATGGTTTATATTGTTACTTACATATTTTTTAATCAGAACTGTTTTATGTTATTTTGCATTTTCTTGCAGATTAGCTACATTCTGCATCCTGGCAATATACTGTACATTTAAATAGTATATAGGTAGTCCTCAATTTACAACCATTTGTTTAGTGACCATTTGAAATCACGTATGACTATTGTAACATCCCCACATGATCAAAATTTGGACACCTGGGAACTAGTTACATTTATGATGGTTGCAGTGTGCTGGGGGTCAGGTGATCACTTTTTCCAACCTTCTGACAAGCAAAGCCAACGGGGAAGCCAGATACGCTTAACAACTGTGTTACTAATTTAACAACTTCAGTGATTCACTTACTATTGGTGGCAAGAAATGGGGCAAAATTCACTTAACAACAGAAATTTTCAATTGTAGTTGTAAGTCGAGGTTTACCCATAGTGTCATGCATTTAGTGGGCTGTGTTTAGACTGCTACCATATAGAAGTAGTAGTAATTCAGTAGGTCTTATGGCTAAAGGGTGGAGCAGGCTTTCCATATGTGGTGTGAGTGCCCATGTGAAGCTATCTACAGCTAGTGATAAGACCTTGGCAATAGAAGAGCCAAAAGCTCTGGAATTAACTCCTACCAGCAGCCTAATCAGTCTCTTTGGCCAAGAAAAATCTTCAAACATACTTTTATGTTCCCACTTTCTCTCCACAGTAATTTGCTGGCAGATTTTAATTGCTGGTGCCATATTTTATGTATTTTCAGCTACTTCCTGGTTTAATATTTAATGTTTATGATGCTTGTTCATGACACTAGATGGCTTTATTAAGGTAGTATGGTAAAAGATTTTTCAGAATTCATTTATGGTGCTGGTTCTGTAATCAGTTACATCTTCTAATTCTCTTGGATGACGCAGCAACATAAGGTTGCCTTTCACAGCATCTTTGTAGTGCTTGAATGGATGATTATCGAGGTCTCTTTTCAGTCTCCAGTTCACTATAGAACAATTGACAAGGCATACAGTGGTCCATCCATTTTGATGATTTGTCCCACCTACTACTCTGATAATTAGGGACTTAATGCTCATGGATCCACATGATCCAAATCTCCAGATTTGAGACATGGTTTTGTCAACAAATGCCAAGGCTGGAGTGGAGGGCACAAATATGAAATTTCTCCAATTGATTGATGTGTTGTCAGTACCGAGTCCAAGATTCACATTCGTATACGAGAGAAGGAATAATGATAGCTTCTGTAGACTTTCAGCTTTTGTGGAGATATAGACCTTGTGTTGTTAGATCACTCTGTTATGCATTTGGGCAGAGACTGAATGCAGTCAATTTCTTTGTTCAAAGACCCATCACTTGAGATATTTGAAGCTCTTTACATTTGTCTGCTGAGTGTCATCTGCAATGACTTTTGGTTCTATAGGCTGGTATTTGGTATGCTCGTAAAGTACAAAGTACCTAAACATAGCCTGTTTAGGCTATGCTAAAATACAGTTATGTGCTGTATGTTCAACATATTGTATATTAAATAGCTAACTAACCTTCTTCAGGTTTTCCAATATGTTTATAGAAATAGAATTATGCCCCCTTATATACACACAAATCACTACTTTCAATTGTCTTAATGTGCTAGACATAATATCATATCATATCATATCATATCATATCATATCATATCATATGTGACTCAACATAACCAGGGAAACTGCATAATTCAGCATTTTGATGTGCTTTGGAAAAGCCAATACTGTTATCTATAAAAAGGCTCTATTGTTTTCAATCCTTCAAAAATGAATACATTTAATGGATAAGATATTAACATTATCTTCTTCATTATAATGAGTTGCACTCAATTATGTGTGGGGTAAGGCTTACCAATTGCAAAGATGCAGGTAATGGATTAGGCTTGTGATCATTCCTGTATAGATTGACAAGGATTTGTGCTACAGCATCTATTCCATGAGACACCTTCCCTACTGTCATCTAGTATTTAACAAGGCCCGAAGAAGAGGAGAGGAAAGAGAAAAGGTGGAAAATGAAGAAATCTTACCTTAGAAATTACAATTTAAGGAAAAGCAAAGCAAAGAAAAACAGTGAAGCAAAGGTGTACAAGCTTAAAGTAAAAAAGAAGAGAGCTTAATTACGGAATGCCAACCCCACATAAAATCTAAACATTTATCCCTTACTATATAAAATCTAAAATCTGTACAATACCATATGTTGACAATCTGCCACATCTTTAAAATCTAAGATTGTATGAATATCTTAAACAGATGAGTTTGTGTGTATGCATACATTGAAGCACACTCTTCTTGACACAAAAGGCTAGAGCCGTGATGGCAAACCTATGGCACGCGTGCCAGAGGTGGCACTCAGAGACCTCTCTGTGGGCACGCGTGCCATCGCCAGCTGTTCTTCTGGTTTCTGGCATACCAGGTAGGCTTTGCGCATGCCAGAGCACTGGAAACCTGAAGACTAGCTGGCCGGTGCGCATAGTCCAGTGTGCACCCATGCACGCACGCATGGGTGCGCACACGCATGAATTCTGGTTTGGGTACTTGGTGCCGAAAAGGTTCGCCATCATTGAGTTAGAGAATTAAGTGAGAGCTGAATTTAATTCTGAGCAACTTGTTAAATGGCAAATGAAATAATTAAATAATGAAGGTAAAATATTAAAATAATGTTAGTGATAATATTACAGTTGCCAACACATATTCCTTTTGACGTCTCAAAAAGGGGATATACACTCATCCTTCTCCCACTGTTTATAGAGGGGAAAGATACATGATTTCCATTTTTTTCAGTTCAAGTTTTGAAATAGTTTATTTTAAACTATTTTAGTTTAAGGATAAGTCAAGTTCTGGTGCTGTTTTAAAATTCTTTAATACCCATTATTTTAGCCTTTTTTTCAAATGAAATATAGCACACACACACTGTTGTCTTGAAATGTTAGTGAAAGCCAATGGTATGCAGGCTTTTATTGTGACAATGTGAAGCTGAGAGAAACCTGTTAAAAAATACCTTTTCAGAAAGAATAGCAGAGTAAACAGAGTTTATTGATGAAGAGGAAGCAGCTGAATCATGAGATGGCAGGCAAGCGGGAGATGGGAGCTGAGAATGAGAGAGACCTTTAGTAGGAAGTGGATTCTGTGTAAAGCAGAAAGAGGAAAAAATGGTCCCAAATTATTTACCTGCAAATGCATGTTAAAATTATGGAACTTGCCAACATGCATTAAATTACTGAAGAACGTTCTGTTACAGCCAGAAGAAAAAAATATTACAGCCATAAACTAAGACAAACATATCGGGAGGGAAATCGACATGTTGAAATTGGCCCTTATCACTTTGTGACAGATTATGAGCAAATTTTCACGTTTCTTTTTTTGATCACATTTAATGAAATGAAGCAAAAGAGTTATTAGCCATGAGCTAGCCCTCTTAACCACCAACACAGTTCCTCACCAACTTTGCATTCTCTGCTTATTTATTCACCTTGGGGATGTCAACACAACCAAACAAGGAGGCCAGATGAGCTGCTTTCTCTTTAATGCTCTTTTTATGAAATTCTCTATTGGCTACGGACTGAGCTTTTTTCTGTGGCAAGAACAGCAAGGAGAGAACAAAAGTTTGAGTTAGGGAGAAAAAGTAGAAATGACAGTACAAAAGGTAGCAGTTTGGAGAAAAGAAGATTAAGTAACAAAGAGAAAGAAGGCACAGAAACCCAAAGCACTGTTATGTATGCATGAAGTTACAGTATCTGGAATAATTAAAGAGGGGGGGGGGAAATCATGTGGGATTCTTTATGGGAAACTTTGTGCCTGATGTCACCTCAGTGTGCATTTTTTCTGGTGCATCTCCCCAGTTGATGAGCTATGCTGCTCTTCCTTTTAAAAACTGCAATGTGCTTTTTTTAAAAAAAAAGACTTTTTCCAGAGATCACATTCCATGAATTGTGTATGCACAGCAATTTCTTAGATATCATGACTGCATCCCTAGTTCCTATAGCCTGACTTTGAGATGTCTGTGTTTTTTTTTTTAAGGGAGCCAAATCTTTGCTTGATAAATGAAATGATCAAATAGCCATGCAGGACTTAAGAAGTAATGGAGACCTTGATAAGCAATTTGGCTTAATTGCTTATTACAACTGTTTTCCCCCACCCCCCACTCCCGAGAAAGAAGGAAGGGAACTTTCTAGTCAAGTTTCTCCCGAGTTTCATTAATCAATTTAAGGTGTGTGCAATGTCAGTGCAATGTAGAAAACAAATTGTAAAAGGATGAGGGATCTGTGAAAGGAACAAAAAGTATGTTTCATGGTGAGAGCAGCTAGGATTCTATTGGTTCAGAACTGTCCTATATGATTGGATGTGTTTTAGCAGCACAGGAAGAAACCAAAAAGGAAAAAAGAAGAGGAAATAGAGGAAAGAACATCACCTGATTAATTTTTTCCTCCACATCCTGAAGGCGCTGAAGCACACCAGAAAGTGCAAGGGCAGCAGGACAGGAAGAGGCAAGAGTTTCAGAGACTCTAGATTTCTGCTCGCTTGGTTCTTTGCATCTCAAAGGCTTGGCCAGTGGTTGCTCATCCGACAAAGGCTGCAAGGGCTTCCTGACAATGCAGTCCATCTTAGCTATGGCCTGAGACTGGGAAACACCACAAAGGAAGCCAGTGGCCTCTCTTCCAACAAAGGATATCTGTTTTGAAATTGGCTAAAATAATCAAAATGTATCCATGCAAACGGGCACCTAATCACCTAAACACAAGGCAAATAATTTATTTGGAACAAAAATTTGTGTTATCAAATAGTCACAAGCAGCACACATCTGATTATTATAAATCAGATTTCCATTGTCCAATTCTATACTAAAACGATCCTTGAAATTATTTTGCTTTTTCTGACATTCACCCAGGATAGGGGATAATGGTGTGAAATTTTGTTAGGAGCCAAGCATTGCTACCTACTATATCACTTCTTCAGTATATTTCACATTGAAATGACTTTCTAATGTTTTGGAATGTATTAATGGGCTTATTGCTAGCATCATCCAATGATGCTCTCCAGCAATCAAAGGTTCCCCTCCCCCCTTGAAGAATGCCTACCTGTTTCTTTGGTGGAGATGGCAGATTATCGGTTGTCTCCTTGGGTTTAGCAAAGCGAGGATTTATAGGAGATTCAGAAGAAAGAAGCAAGCCTGGTCTATTTACCGGCTCCTTAAATTAAAAAAGTGGAGAACAGCCCGAGAAAAGAACATTTTAGAATTAGAACAGAAAGGTAGCATGAAGAAGAAGAAAGAAATTTTAAGAAGAACCACCACCAGCAGCATTTTAAAATCTGTGAAGTTATTATAATTATATTATAATTTCTATTTATTGCAAATTTAATAATATCCTCTAAAATCAGATGGGTACAAACTGGATTGCTAGTTAGCATTAAAAGTTATAGAGTGTAAATTAGGACAGTGGGAAGGAGAAGCTTAATCTTTCTTCTCTACTCAGATCTCAATTAAAATAATTCCCCAAAGCCTCTATTCACATAAATATGAAAGACAATGGAATAAAAGTCTACATAACTAAACAAATTGGAAGCGAATTGTTTTCAAAGCACTTATGTGGAATATTAAATAACAGAACATCATAAATAGGCTCATATGGTACTAATCTACAGGATTTATAAAGAAGATAAGACTGAACTATCAACTGAAAGTCAGCTGAGCAAATCATAAATTGAATTCATAGGTTTTCTGTTGAGCTCACAGTTTGTATAATCTTCATCAATGGTGGAATTCAAAAAATTTTTTACTACCAGTTCTGTGGGCGTGGCTCGGTGGGCGTGGTGTGGCTTGATGGGCATGGCAGAGGAAGGATACTGCAAAATCTCCATTCCCACCCCACTCCAGGGGAAGGGTACTGCAAAATCCCCATTCCTTCACCACTCCTGGGGGAAGGATATTGCAAAAACTCCATTCCCACCCCACTCTGGGGCCAGCCAGAGATGGTATTTTCCGGTTCTCTGAACTACTCAAAATTTCCACTACTGGTTCTCCAGAACCTGTCAGAACCTGCTGATTAGCACCCCTGATCTTCATACTGAAAGCTAAACAGAAACCTAAGCAGACGGAAAATCTGGCCTGTTGCAGGAGTCCCTTGAGTTAGGTGCTATTCAAATATCTAAACTCAGGAAACTTAAAAACATCTAAAGAGAGAGGATAATATTTATAAACTACACACAATAAGCATTGACTCTTTAGACTTTTCACATTGATGGCCATTAGGAAGATCATCACTATCTCTACAATCAAGCCAACTCTGTTTCAAATACGATGACTTTTCTCTACCATATGTAACCAGCATTTATTGTTGGAATAACCAATACATTTGCTTCATTTGAACAATAAATTTTTCAGAATTTTCATTAGTATGAAATGAATCATTAGTCCTTTTGTATAGCAAACTACGATCACAATTGAGCACATCATTGATAGCTTTTCACTAGCCCAATTTTCAAATTATCCTAGAATACTGTGTATGGAAAAATAACCAGGCTGTTAATTTATGTTATGTTTATGTTAATTACTGAGAATATATGTAACCTTTTCAACTGGTGTGGAAACATAAAAATTAATCCATGTAGTTTGAAGAAAAAGGAAGAAATAAACAACGAATAAATAAATGAAAAAGGAAATAAACAATGAATCTCAGTCGCGTTGATTTAGTCATCACTTTCAGCCAGTACCTAACTTAATTGTAACTTTGAAATTTATATTTATTTTTTTGTGCCTTTGAGTCAGTGTCAACTCCTAGAAATTGTCTGGACAAGCTTCTGAAGTTTTCTTGGTAAGATTTTAGAAGTAGTTTGCTTGATTCTTCCTAGAGCTGAGAGTGAGTGATTGAATACAGAACAACAGAGTTGGAAGGGGCCTTGGAGGTCTTCTAGTCCAACCTTTTGTTCAAGAAGCAGCAGGAGTTCAAGCCCTGTACCATATCAGACAAGTCATTGTCCAATCCCTTCTTAAATGGCTCTGGTAATGGAGCACTTGGAAAGCAAGCAGTTCCACTGATTGTCCTAATTGTCAGGAAATTTCTCCTTATTTCTATGTTGGATCTCTTCTTGACTAGTTTCCCCCCTTTAGTTCTTGTCTTGAACTTAGGTGCTTTGGAGAAGAGGTTGTCCCCCTCTTCTCTGTGACAGCCCCTCAAATATTGGAAGACTTATGTCACCCCGGTCCTTCTTTTCATTAGACTACACATCATCAACTCCTACAACTATTCTTATGTTTTAGCTTCCAGTCCTTTAATCATCTTTATTGCTCTTCTCTGCACTATTTTATATAATTGTATACATTGAATTTATGTAGGATGTTTCAAACAAGTGTTTATGCTGGACATTTAAGACTCTGACCAAAAAAGCCCAAACTGACACAAAAGTTTGTCTTGTTTTCTACATGTAATCCTATACTAGAAATATTTGCACATAGTTAAACAGCAATTGTCATGGAGTATAATGTTTCTAGAAAATCAATTTATTTAAGTAATAATAAAAATGTGTAACAGAATTTGTAATCTTAACCAAAATATTGCTAACTATCTTAAGAAGCACAAGAATATACAGCTTTTATATTGTTCTATTAAATTATGTTACATACTAAGACAGCAACCTGATCCCACGTCATCAGATTATTTCAAAAACTTTCAGTAACAAGGAAGGAAAGCATTATATAATTACATCACACTATCTACTATCTGAAAGGGACTTTGTTTATCTTGGACTAGGAGCAAATGTCTATGTTGTATTTTCATCATTATACAAAAATACAAAGACAGGAGGTATTCTGAGATGCTTCCTTTTATAATGCCAGCAATATTTATATTATCTGACTATCTGACTATAAATGTGTATTTCCTGTATATGTGAAGATTCTGAAACTAATACTGAACTGCATTACCCAGAATCATGCTTTTTGAGAGTTGATCAATATCAGTATTCCCTGAAATGTTGTTTGGAAGCAGAATAAAGTTTTAGGATCTTTCTCCTTGTACTCAAAACTTAAGATAGTAATTCCATGCATATATATTCAGAAGGCCTATGTGCCAATACCTCAAAATAGCTTCTTATTCCTCAGAAAGATTTGACTCCATTTCCAAATGTGAGTTTAACTATTTGTACTGGGAACAGTAACAAAGCAGTAACAAGGCCAAAGGAAAGTCTAGTAACTAGTCAGATCAAAGCTGATTAAAGTAAGACAGTAGATTCATTTACTCTACGAAGCAGAAGATGTATACAAAAGATCTAAAAACAAGCCAAGGTCACAAGGAGAGATCCAGAACATGTAGGCATCATTATCATAGGAGCTTTGCACAATCAAACATGGAACTTCTGCTGTAGGCTTAAACAGGGTATTAGGAGTCCAGATTTTGTTAACTGCTTGACACTATGAGGGAATTCCTCTTCCTACAAGATTTGTGTCTTAGATGTTCCCTCCAACTTACTGCATGTACTTTACTGTATGAAATTCACTTTACTGCACGTTCCATATTCCATAGCATGCAGAGGAGAGAGACAGGAAGAATTCAGCATCTCTATCTCATCTCCATCTGTTTTTGGATAACACGGTCAGTATAGACTTAGTCCCATTTCTCAACTAAACAAGATGGTCTGCCCCTTGTCCTGCAATTGCTCTGCCTTCTTCTCATCTTTATTTATTTGCTTATTCACTCACCTGTCTCCTTAATGAAACATTGGGTGCATTTTCTTCGAACTTGGCTAAGAGCTGTGTTGCCATTGATTTCACTTTGTTTCGATTTATTGTTCCTTTCATATCCCTTGGTCGATTACTAGAATTTCTTTCTTGATTAAAATAATTTGAAGACTATAAGCAAGCAGATGGGAAAAAAAGTATATGTATTTATTCCATAAATTAAGGACTGCCATTTATGTAAATTTTTGATGTAGATTTAAAAATCTACATAAAAAGATTACCTTTTTAAATAAATAACTCAAGGTAACAAGCTTACTTACTCCTTGTTCCTCTACCTATTTTCCCCACAACAACCGCTCTGTGGGTTGAGAGAAAGTGACTGGCCCCAAATCACCCAGATGGTCATCGTGCCCAAGGTGGGACTAGAATTCACAGAATCCTGGTTTCTAGCCTGGCACCTTAACTACTAGACCAAATTGTTCTTTCTTCATTACGTTTGTAAATTTGAAAAGCATTCTGTCACCCACATTAGAACAATGCATCTGTTACACACCACAGAAGTAATGCAAGCTTTGAGTTTTTGGGATCAAGCATGATAATAAACAAAACAGAAAGTGGGTGCAATGGAATGTGAGAATGGAATGTGGGAATGGAAGAAGGGGTGGGGAAAGATGCTTCCTAAGAAACAATCAGATAAAAGGGAGAGGAACCCACAAATGAGTAATAGGTAGAGAACTCAATAGCACTTTTTCATATGGCTGTTGACAAAAATAGGATTGCCAACATGATCACCAACGCCCAATGACAGATATGACACAACAAGAAGAAGATACTTAAAGTACAGTAGTGGCTGCCCATTTATTTGTGCACAAAATACAGTTAAAGCTCAGGTCCCAACTATTTGAGAGAAGACCAGTTTCTGTATGAATCTTTATGACTACTGAGATATGAAATTTTGTCCAAAACAGTCCCTTAGGTTTTGAAGCCATGATGTTCTTCTTCTGCCTGTATAGAGTAGGCTAAATATGGACTGCTCATGGTCCTTCTGAGACCAGCCTTGTTTTGTTCCAAATAAAATGTTCATAGATACAAAGGTAAACCTGTGTAGAGCCTGGAAGTTCCTAGGATATGTATCATTAATATTAAAACCATTGTCTTCCAATGGGTACAAATTCTAAAATTGATAAAATGTGCTGCTGGCCATTTCTTCAATCTGTTCTCAGAAACAAGAGATAGATCCAAGTACAGAAATACTCCAAACTACCTATGTATCTTGCAAGGAGAGTGCAATCCTGTTTAAAATATACATTTCTATGCTTCTTTGGAATTATTGCTTCACCTTGCAATGAATTGTCCCTTATCTGTCTCACTACAGTCTGCAGACCATTCAGTGGAGTCGTGCAATTTCTTGAAAAGTTTATAGAAACATAGAATCGGATGTCAGAAGGACATTGATAACTCCAACTGCATATCTCCAGTGTTTCAAGATGATATCAAATATTACTGGGAACAGAATAAAGCTGTAGACTTTCTTATATTTCTTGTTTTAAGGATCTGTGTCCAAGTAACATCATTTGAAATTTATCTGAGAGATGGGAATGGAACTATTACAAAGCCATGCCACCTATTCCCAAATCTCTCGAATGATCCAGAAGGTTGATGGTATCTAAAGCTACAGAAAGGCCCCTAAGAAACAATCAAGTCAATTCTATCCTTGATATCTGACACTTGTCACACTACAAGTCTTCAGAAAAGTTTGGCTTCCACTGACAATGGCAGTGGCCATACAGATTTCCAACCACAGATTTGAAGAATCTAGTATTACTTGAAAGAGGTTAAAGTGAAGTCCTGCTTGTTCAAAGCAGGTTCCAAAACAATATTATTTTTCTTTTTGCAGACATTGAACTGATAACAAAACAGGAGTTATTAATAGCTTCAACTATGGGGCAGTTTAAACCTTTTAATAAATAAATAAAATAATGCTACCCATCCCATGACTTGTTATGGTCAATTTTAATCAGCTAAAAAGCTGAATGTGAACTCCTTAATACCGACTTTTTGTAGCGGAAAACAAATTTTGTTATATAATACAAGCATATTTAACAATGAAATGTATTGCCAACCTCTTCAAAACTGATGAAACTTTTGCGTCGCCTTTTACTGGTTTCATTTTCTTCCACCTGAAAGCAATGAAATCAAGTTAAGAAAATATTCACAATTGTAAATATATCAAAAAATTATCTATTTAATAAAAGGCAAATGAACATTCTGTAACTAACATGCAAATTAGTTATAAAAGGAGAAAGGGCAAAGAGCATAATTAAATCATGCACCAGGTACAATTCAAGATTTCATTATGCATCTTTCTACAAAGAATTGACTGGAGGACTAATTTTAGGGCACTTTTAATATGTTATAAAGCCAGTTGATGTTAATGTTTCTCTTTCTACAAACACCAACCTATTCTCATTAACAGCTAAAACACCAAAAAATGCAGGAGAAAAGAACAACTACTTGAATTAATAGATTTCAAGGCGTTAAGGAAAGCAAAAGATGAAGTTTGTTATTATCCTTTCTATATTCCATTTTTGGTACAAAAGTAGCACACACATATCAATGCATTTGGATTGTAGATTAAACATATAAAATGATTTATTGTAGCTATACGACATCTCGCAATAACTCAGGAATCACACAATTCCAATGTCACAGTAGTATCTCAGAAACCCGCCAGGAGATAATCTGGTTCTCCTGATTCAAGGTCTTTGTGCATTATTTCAGGCCTAAAGATCTCAGCATTACACTTTTTTTTTATGATACTACTCAGAAGTTTGTGTATAATTCAGGTCCTGTTTAATTCAGGTCCTGGATAAATCACCAGCTGTTCTTTATGTAAGGAAGACAGATGTCATCAGTGATATGAATTAATTTATATAGCTTTCTACCACTAGAAGAGGTAGAAAGTATCCTGTGAATATTTCAATATTATGTCAGTTCAACAATATTTCATGCAAGTGTGAGTGGCATTACTGATAAAATTCAACACTCTCTGGCTGAGCTTGCAAGCCATATGATTTCACATAAGTATATTTCTTTTGGAACTATTTTATAGCTATGTGTAATCTTCTAAATGATGGACAAAACCACTCTTAGCTCTCCTTTCCAAAACACTGACAGATGTATAGTTCTAAAAACTGCCTTAAAAGTTTTCAAAGTTTTTATTTTGAATCAGACTATTGTCTGTCTAGATAAAAATCATTACTAATGGTCACATGAACCAGAATTACCCTTCTGCTCTTGGAAGAGGCTATAACAGAAATTCCTACTACTAATAGAAACCAGAAATTGTTTTTACTCTCTCCCTGCCAAGCTATTTGTGTGAACTCCATTCCCTGTGAAGCAGGGAAGTAAGTAAAAGAACCATCTATGGAACAGCACTACAAGTACAGTTCCTGTTACAGATTTGTAGATTTAATCCATTAATCTTTTAAAACTGAGTTTCTGAGCCTGTTTTTTAAAATTTTCATATTTTACTGTTCAGTTGGGCATTTAATAATAATAATAATTTTTGTTTGTGTAGCTGAGGGCAGAAAAGCTGGCATAGAATAACAAATACGGAAAAAAATTAAGATGTCTTATTTATGTTGACTTGTGAGACTGTAAAAGTTACAATAAGCAACATCGTGAAATACATTATATTGATATTTCAGCAGAGGAGTCTACTGTAAACTTGTTTTGGAAGTTTGAGCATTTTTGTCTTATTTCTGCCAAACTGGATAGTTGGGTTTCAATTGAATAAACACACCATTCTGTTTGCAAGGCTGAATAAAGAAAGGATGTTTCCTAAAAAGGGCATATGACTACTGGTAGATAGCTTAATATTCACATGATTTGATGGTATTATTTATAGATTGGTTGGCATAAGAAGAATCTTACATTTTGTATTTGGAAGGCTCTGTTAAACTTTATTCATTGGCCTTCAGAAGACAGAGTTGATACAGCTTTAAAAGCACAAAATGCACTCATTGTTTTTAGTTGCTAGTTATTGAAGCTGTTGACCAAATATTTTTGTATATTCTCTTACTTGATCAAGCCATCTCCATAAAATGATACATGCATGCTAATGTCTCTGGAGGCATTCTAGGGACACGTAAATAGATGTAGGGATGAAATGTAGGGGGAAGAAAAGGGTGGAGTAACATTGCATGAGTGAAACCTTCTCACATACTGGAGTGAGCCATTGTTAGCTGACTTTTCAAATCCATGCAGCTAATTTGTGGTGGTGTAAGTTCCACTCATCACAGGAGTAACTAAGTATAGGTAGATGGCAATTTTAACCAACATATAGTCCATCAAACAGTACTATATGATGGAAGCTGATAGATGAATGATCTAAATTACAGCAATTTCATTATTAAAATACTGGGAAGTTTAAGCTTATATTTGAACACAAGTAGTATTATGCAAAGCTTTTTTTTCCTGATACACAAGAGATACGATAGGCTTTATCTCAAAGATCAAACATTTAATTTTCATACGTAGGATGAAATTTAATTTTCTAAATTTAATTTAAATTTAATTCATTTTTTTAATTTAATTTTTAATGCAGGTTAGTGTTCTGGAGTTGTATCTCTATATAAAACTGAACTTCTTCCAGTTCTGGAATATTTCTTGTACTAAATATAAAATTACTAGTGGAAAGTAACACTCTTTCTTTCATTATTAGTGACACCTGCAAACTCACACACTTTTTATTTTCCTGCTGCTGTGAAGTTATACCATAACTATTCCAATGAAGCATCAACAGGGGGTAAAAATACAGTGATCTCTTTCAGAAATCAACAGAGAATACTGGCCATAGATATGTAGATTTTCTTTTGAAAACTGTAAAGTAGTTTCCTTTAATATTAGGTCAATTTGACATCTGTAAATGGGAAAGCAGATTTACTAGAGAACATTTTTCAGTAGTCTTGGGAATAATTTGGCTTTAGGAGATCCAAGGCCAATTTCATACTGATCTCAAATGGCAACCAAATAGTCCAGGGAAATGTACAAACTTTGCATGATAGAGAAAGCATATTCTGTTCACAGTGTGAATCTAAATAGCATGTAGATAGCATAATTGAATACTGTCCTATTTTTAACTTTCATTAGTTACACAGTATTTGTAAATTTATAACCTTGCTGTTTATTTTGTACTATGCATCCATTTATTCCTTTATCTAAAGGATGGGGAGGAAGAAAAAAGATATATAATTTTACTTTTGGTATTCTCTTCCTTGGAAATGTCAAGTTTATGTAATTATTACAGCCAAATTTGGATGATTTTGTTGAAGAAGGATCAATTATTTCTCCATTTTGCTTTACCATGGTACCTGTTCAAACATAAAGAAATAAAGTAAATTAAGGCATCATGTATTAATTTGGAAATCATGTAAAGCAAGCCATTTATACTTTCAAGTATTTTTCCTATAAAACTACATCTATAATTCAGTATTAACTTCAGAAAGTCTTTCATTACAAAAAAAATTGAAACATTGAAAAAGCAACATTATTCTTCAAACTAAATGGTACAGTCCTGTAATCTGAATTTAGAATAGACATGGACATCTCTCATCACATTCAGCTTCCACTCAAACACCCTAAACTTCACTGCCAAAGTTAATAACAAAACTGCTGAATTTCAGTAGCCCTTTAAAAAAAAAAACCATTAAAAATTCAAAGTAGAAGTGGTTTGTCTCCTGTTCCTGGTTCCATTTTTATTCCCCACCATAACAACCCCAGAAACTTGAAGTTGTAAAAAGTTGAACATTTTTATAATAATCTCTGCAACTGTTCCTCTAGCAAATCTGGGAGAAAGACCCAAGATGATCCTGAGGAATGGGATATTAGGCTACTGCTTGGATTTTAGGAAGTTTTATGGGTGGGGATGGAAGTGTTTTGTCTCTCAGAGGCCTACCTCTTCTATTTCTATCCTTAACCACCACATGAAAGGGACATAAAATTTGGCCTTGTTCCTTCCAATGAAGTCACAGTATCATTAGATGTCTTTCTGTGATCGTCCAGAAAGTTGGAAGGTGGATTTAAAGCCTTCAACCACTGAAACACTGCCAAATGCTGACACAAAAATTAAAATACATTGAGCAGAGCTGAGTCAGAGCATGACATGTATCTGGGTAAACCAGTTACGATCAGCAGATTGTAATGAGTACTTTAAATAAAAGATATTTGTACATGCCTAAAAGCTCTTCTACTATACAAATTTTAATGCAAACCAGAGTCAAGCGTTGTCTTTGCCCTCTTTTCCACATTGCCATTTTGCCTATGACTATGTGAAAGGTGCAAAAGTATACTGGGTTATGTAGATTTCTAAGTATTATTGATCCATATCATAGCACTTGGAAAACAATATATCTAGCAGACAAGGTTCTCAATTTAAAAAAATCTAATAAAACAGAGACAAATTTGAAAACCAAGTGCAGAATCAGCGACTTTAATAAAATTTATGTGATCAACTAACCAAAATAAGTAATGGCAACAGTGTCTTCTGGCTTTCCAAAGAATAAAAACATCCACTTCCCCCATTTTGTTATAAAATCTGGTTGACATAGCTAAATATAATTCACTATTTCAAAGCAGTTACAATTGCAAGAAACCTTGGGCTCAGGTTTAAGGCCAAACCTGAATGTAAAGTAACAAAAGCTTGATTTTTGCTGAGAGTAAAAACAACAGAGCTAACTTACCCACTGCTCTCAGAGGTGTCCCCCTAAATAGCTCATAGAATTTTGACAGATACATGACCATACTGAGTTTATCAGGCTCTCCAGCAGACACCATTTCTTTCCCAGTTGTGACAGGAGGAATTTCAAATTCACGTTCAGCAATATCAAATGCTAGCTGGTTGTTTTCGACTGCGTCTTCTTCATTCAGGGAATCAAAGTCACTTAGAATTAGGGAAAAAAAGTCATATAAGTACAGAAACATCTCTTAGAGTAGTCTGAAAACCAAGTCTTGGCAACTAGACTAATTTTCTTGCTTCTCATCTCGTACAGTACTTTAGAAAATGATTTTCCCTGTACTAAATCTTTTTGTTTTCAAAGTTTTTCTAAAACATTGTGGAAAAAAAAAATGTTGGTATCCTTGATAAAAATTTAATTTAGTGCGTATTCATACTTACTTACTTACTCTCTTCCACATTATGTTTTTGCCAGAGTGGAATACCACCATCTCCTTACATTATGTATACAAAACAATAGTCTATAATTATCCTTTAGAACTCTGAGAAGCACCCAACCACAACCAACCAACCAGCCAATAAAAGAAATCCTGAATAAATATATGCTATAATAGAATAATATATACCAAATCAGAATATGCAAATGTTCAAATCAATTGTCCCTGATCTTGTATCTTACAGATGTTCTTAACTGTTATTTGAGTACTTTCTAGAGACTGCAACTAGAAATTATGGGAAGTTATGTACATAGATATGGAAGTCATTAGGCATTAGGAAGAAAGTTAGCATCTGTTGGCATAAAAATACCCTTATTCCAGAGAATGGTATTTGCTAAATAAGTATGATGTAATTACTAGTTCCAATATGAGCCAATTTGGTGTAGTGGTTAAAGTGCTGACCTAGAAACCAGGAGACTGTGAGTTCTAGATCTCTATTAAGCATGAAAAACTGGCTGAATGACTTTGGTCCAGACACATAGCCCAAGTCACTTCATAGGGCTATTTTTGTGGAGAAAACAGGAAGTGGGAGCATTAGGTATGTTAACTGCCTTGAGTTGACCAACATATGTAAAACTCAGGATAAAAATCTAATCATCTTCATCTCCAGAATTCTTGGGGAACTGGGATAGAAATAAAATATACAATTTAATTTTTCAAAGGATTGACATAATGTCCTTCCACAGATGCATTAAGATACACACACACACACACACACACACACACAACTGGCATTTCAAAGAGCTCTAAGGACCTGGCTCTTTGCCTAGGTTTTGGTAAGGACAATTGATGCCCCTTTCTTCCTTTTAGTTGCCTTCAGGGTTTGTTTTCTTTGCTATCATTGCTCTTTTGTCATGGGCTGTTTTCGTATTTTTTTTCCAGACATTATAACAATACAGATGGCACTCCTCAATTCTGAATAACCTCTCCCCACATTTGCATGTGAATATTACTCAGCACAGAGCATTTAAAAGAAAACACTGTAAAATAACAAATGCTATGAATTCAGGAAGAAATACAAGCATAAAAGATATCAACTTCTATAACACAAGCAAAAAACAGTATGGTTGAAACTCGAGAAGTTCTTTGAATCTGTAAACTTTGTATTTTTTTAATATGGAGCCAAAGACACCGAGGGGCAGAATCTGAACAAAAAGATGCAGAGAATTGCAAAATAGATGTTAAAAAGAGAAACAATCTTTCTTTATTGTTTTGATTGGCCTTATTCAAGTCTCTATTTTAAAAGGAATTTGGCAATTAGCAAGCATTACATACACGTATAAAAACTTACATGAGGTCAGGTTTGAAGCGATGTATAAGCGCACATAAGGCAAGGCCACTTTTCCACGAACTGGTAAGATCTGTGACGTTCACATTCTTGTATCCTTCGGTCTGTTTCTGACACCAGGTTAAAAGTTTGTTGGGCCTTATGTCATATTCTGAAAGAATAATTTTCTTTTTTTAAAAAAAACGGTACAATCTTTACGACTTTTAAACTCTCCCAGTATATGGTGTAAAAAAAGAATACTAGTGAAACTTCTCATACCACGTTTTGAAAGGCCAATTGATCTTCTAATGGTATTTGCTCTTTCTAGTAGGCACGGCTGCAGCTCATTTGTAATATATAAATGTTTCACCTAAGGGAAGATAATCAACAGTTGAGTTCAGAATCTTCACTGCTCAAATCTGATTTATCATTCAATTATCTAAACTGACAATGGATATGCAACATCTAACTCACCACAGTTTATATGCTAATTATTATATTTATATGCTACCCTATTCCAAGATTCCAAGCACTTAACAAACATTAAAACTCAATAAAACACCATTGTGTTAACTTACAGATAAACGTCTAGGGGAAATAAAACTATCAAGACATGCATGCAAAACAGGCAGTTCTGCATTTTCTTCATGATCATCTGAGTTTGTTTTCATATTTTATAGATCAACTATTATACAACCATTATGTTTATGGCAGTCAAAGTTGAACAGAAACGTTCTAAAAAAACCCAATCCAACCTTCCTAGTATCGCTTTGAATATAAAGGGTTTTATTGTTTATATAAAAGTAAAGGTTCCCCTCGCACATATGTACTAGTTGTTCCCGACTCTAGGGAGCGGTGCTCATCTCCGTTTCAAAACCAAAGAGCCAGCACTGTCCAAAGATGTCTCCGTGGTCATGTGGCGAACATGACTAAACGCCAAAGGCACACGGAACACTGTTACCTTCCCACCAAAGGTGGTCCCTATTTTTTCTACTTGCATTTTTTACGTGCTTTCGAACTGCTACGTTGGCAGAACCTGGGACAAGTAACGGGAGCTCACCCCATTACGTGGCACTAGGGATTCGAACCACTGAACTGCCAACCTTTCGATTGACAAGCTCAGCGTCTTAGCCACTGAGCCACCATATTTATATCTTGGCTTACCTGATGAGGTCGAACACAACTTGAGTTCAAATTCGGATATCGTGTGGCAGGGTCAATAGTGTATTGGTCAAAATTCTTAGTGATATTTTCAGGTGTTGTCTGAGGTAAGAGTCTATAAATACTTTCCCTGAAAGACAGCAATAGAAATATGTCTGTTTGATTTTAAGAGGCAGGCAGTTTTCGCCCTTGCTTGATGTGCACCTACCTTTATTTAGACAATGAATTTAGATTTGCCAAAGTATGAAAAATGCTTAAGATGACAACAACTCAGACAGAAAAATATAGGTCTTCCTAAGGCAGAAAAATAACTACAGTGAGGTAAGATTACATCATCCCAAATCATCTGGCTTTAATTTTCCTTTCGCACAAGAAACAACTCCTCCTTTAGCCACAAAACAGCAGTAGGTATAGATTTCACAGCCATTATTAGTCAGCCAGGTTTCCATTTACAGCCTGTGCTGTCTTTTGCTTTCCGCAAACATGCTTTCTCAGCCCTTATATGACCTTTTTCCAAATTCAGACACTTGACTTCATCATTACCATACATAACATCTACAAAAAAAAAAAACCCTCTCAACAACTCTCCTTTCCTCCTTGTAATTGGGCAAAGATTGCAGTGAAACAAATGAGAAACAAATTGATAACAAAATAAGAACAAGAATAAGATAATAGAAGCATTATCAAATATGGTAGAACTAGGTCACCTAAATGCTACTGAAAGACACTGTAGCAACCAAGTGTCCAAGGCCAATAGTAAGGAATGATATCTGGATGGCCACAGATTCTTCATCCCCACTTTGGATCAAACTGGGATCAATTTTCGCTCTGTGAAAAATGGAATTCACTCACTTCTCTGCTATATAAAGACAAGCACATATAGACTTACCTTTCTGCTAGGATATCAAGAGGGAACTTTCCTTGTGCCCAGCTTTTCACCATCCAAGCTGTGTCAAATGCAGCTAGGAATCCTCTTGCACAACCAGTACCCATTGGCCAGAACGGCTGTGACAGTGAAACATATTTTTGTTTTAGGTAACATCTAATATAATTTAAATTGAAAAACATTCAAATTCTTTATTATAATCTGGATACCATCCAGCCACCCTATTACGAGAAGAAAGCAGAGGATACAGGTATAAGATAAGCATTTTACAAAAAGAGAGAAAGTGGAGGAAAAACAAATGCAATAGGCAAAAGCTGGAGTATCGGATAACAATAATAGTAATAAAAAAACCTCTTGGTATAGATTGTGAACGCTTCTGAAGTTCCTACCATTTCAGTCAGAGAATAATAATATAGCATTCATACTTGCAATATTTACTAGATGTTGGTTCATAAAACTGCGGGTTTTTTGGTTTTTTTTAATTTGATTTATATGCCGCCCTTCTCCGGAGACTCAGGGCGGCTTACAATGCGTTAAGCAATAGCCTTCATACTTTTGTATATTTATACAAAGTCAGCTTATTGCCCCCACAAACTGGGTCCTTAGAAAGGATGGAAGGCTGAGTCAACCTTGAGCCTGGCGAGATTCGCTCTTACTTTAATTGTAGACAGCCAGTGTTAAATTACAGTGCTTCTGTCTGTTGAGCTAAACCAGGCTCCTAAAACTGCTGTTACAAACCAAATCACTTTTAAAAGCTATCTTGAAGAAATGTGTATTTCATCCTACCTCTACTAAACTGTCTCCAACAAGAGCAACCAACAGTTGATGCCGATGCCTCTCACGTACTAATGCAGCATTTTCAGAGGCATACATAGAAGTAAAATCAAACATGGCCACATCTGGTTGTCCATAGTGATTAATTGCAAAATCTAAGGCAGGCAATTGATAATCAGTTGCAAAGTCGGCAGCTTCTCTTGCATAGGACAATAGATTGTCTTGGTCTACATTTTCCACACACAGTAGCATTTCGGTATCAATAAAATCCTAAATGAAACCACAGATGTCTATTGTTAGAATTCTTGGACAATCCAATGGATGCTAGATAAAACAAATAATTACATATAACAATACAGGGTGAAGTTATATGCATACTGTATGCTAGCAATTTAATTTGCTCTAGAGCAGTGGTCTCCAATTTTTCTGCCTTTGTGGTCTGGCAGCAGGGGGAAGAGCAGATGGTTCTGGGTGAGCGCACACACACATATGCAGCTCCATTTGCAACTCATACAAATGCAGTTTTGCATGCGCACATGTTCACCCACCGCTTGCAGAACCCGGTTCTGAATGGTACTGGGTCATGGGTCAGAGATTGGGGACCCCTGCTCTAGACCAGGGGTCACCAACCTTTCGGACCTCAGGGACCACTAAATTCATAATTTCAATCCCGCGGACCACTAATATGAATTAGTGACGAGATGGGGTCACTTAGGCACTTAGTTAGCAAACTAAGTGCCTGTTAGCAAAGAGAAGCACCCGGGGTCAACCCTAGCTTTGTTGTCTATTGCAGCTAGGAATCTCAAATATGACCAAGAATGAATGTTTGTCTTGTAGCCAGCCTGGGCGCTAGATGCCCCCCCCCTTGCAAACTCTGTCTCTTGAGGAGCTTGGCTGAAGTTTCGTGCACCACTCATTGAAGCACCTGGACTCCCAAGGAGGGAGCTACTAAACAGGCAGCCAAGGTAAATACCTGAAGGACCCCATCCCATCAACAAGTGGGATTAATTGCTTTGGTAGGCCGTACCCGGCCCAAGGGCCATAGTTTGAGGATCCCTGACTTAGTGCAATATAAAAAATGCAAAAATGCAAAGATTTTTCTGTGGACCACCAAAATTTTCTCGTGGACCACCAGTGGTCCATGGACCACCAGTTGGTGACCGCTGCTCTAGACCATTGAGAGCATGTAAATCAAATATATCTGTACCTAACTTTAAAAAAATGATTTTTTAAAAAACAGAGATTTCTTTTTGAAAAGTATGAATTCAGACAGTATGTGGAACATAGAATAAAAGGGTCGGAAGGACCATGCACCTCTCTTTAATGATCTTCTACCTGTTACAGCTTGTCCTGCGCCCAGGTACTTTGGAGAATAAGTTGAACCCCTCTGCTCTTTGACAGTTCCATAAGTATTGGAAGACAACTATTGTGTGACCCCTAAATCTTCTCTTCAATGGGCTAGACATACGTAGTTCCCTTAACCATTCATCATATGGTTAGGCTCCAGATACATTATCATCTTTATTGTTCGTCTCTGCATTCTTTCTAGAGTCTTGGCATCTCTTTTGTATTGTGGCAACCAGAATTGGATGTAATATTCCAAATGTGGCTTCATTAGTTCAATATAGAATGGTACTATCACTTCTCATGATTTTGATGCTATCCCTCTATTGATGCAGCCTAGGACTGCATTGGCTTTTTTGGCAGTTGCAGCACACTGCTGGCTCATACTTAAGTAGCTATTGACTATTCTATACCTATGCATTTGATTTTTCCTGCCTAGGTACAAGATCTTACTTTTCTCATTTTATTTTTATAACTAAAACTCAGTTCCCAAAGACATACAGTACATCACTCTTCCCCAATTACTTTCCAGAACATTTTGGGGTTCAACTCCCATAATCCCCAATTGTTTTTAATGTAGCACAAATGCGAATTCTATGAATTTATAAAACATCTCAACTGAGATATAACAATTTTAATCCAGGACATAGCCTAGTTTATTAGTGCTGCAATGAGTCTTATGCTTGCATGTTCCCTCTCCATCTTTCTTGAACACTCAATTTCAGTGAAGTGTTCTTGAACATTTCAACACAATTTCCTGTTATATTTCAATTTGAAAATGCAGTTCAGCTTTTGTCAAATTGTAGTTCGTCAGATGTTCTGTGACTGCAACACTTAGAATTTCCACCCAGTACTTTGGGAATACAATGGCCATTTGGCTGGGAATTCTGGAAATAATCTGTCTCAAATAATCTGGAGAATCTGGGTTTTAAGATTCTGTTGAGGCTCAGCAATCAGAATGTGTACTATTATACAGAGAAAGAAAATATACATTGGATACATACGTTAATAATGACACCCTTATCCAGAAGGCTCTGTTTTTTTGCAGTCATCACAAAGTAATGTGTGCTATCTTTATAGTAAACAATATTTTCTAGGTCAATTCCTACAGAAGAGCAAGACATGTTTTTGGATGAAAACTCATATAATAAAACAGTGTATATTTCTCAATTTTTTTTACTACTTTAATATTCAACAAATTTGGAAAAAAACATTTTTTTAACCTCCTAAATTTTGAATTCAAATTTATTCATACTGTAACATTCTCAACAATACATTTAATTAAATTCTAACATGATGTTGACAGTAAAAACATATAATTTATACATCTTTATAATTTAAAGATGAACACATTAAACCATGTGTGTTCGTAGTCTAAAATCCTATCCTAGTTAAAAATTATGTCATATTAAATTTGTCAACAAACAGCATGTTTCAGGGAATTCAATTTCTCCTTGTATGCATGCAAAGTGTTGGAAAAATTTTGGACCAGAAAATAATATGAAAAAGTAAAGGCTGAGAAGGTTCTATTGTAGAAAGTCATAAAACATTTTGCTATTTTTATTGCAATGAGTAGCACCTTCGAAATAACTATGACTTAGTTCATACTTAAAGCTATGACCAGAAGTTCATAATCCATGGTCCTGATACACAAACACCCTTGAAAACTTGCAAACAACTTACATGGGCCTACAGAAATTATTACCAAATCAAAGTTTTTATTGTAAGAGAAAGAGATTAAATTTCTAACTAGACAGCATTCATACTCAATTCCAATTTAATTAAAACAATAAATGAAGTCAAATCAGTTTGTTCTTAATCCTTTATATTCCTACATACACAGGAAAGGGGTCACCTAGAAAAAAATTGCACATTACTGCACAAATATAATGTGGCAAGATTGCTTTTGATTTAGCATGATGAGTGAAACTGTCTATTATAGATTTTTGTGTAAATCAATGAACAACAAAATCTTAAAGAAAATGAATTAAAGTGCCACCACTGATTTTATACCTCTGCTATTCAGTTTGGTTGCCAACTTGCTGTATTTTGCCATGTTTAAAAGAATACCCACCTGTTTCTTCTTTCAAATCTTGGAAGAATTTTTGATTAAAAATGAAAGCAACACCACTAATCTCCTCCACTTTGGCTTCTGCTGTGGTATTTTTGTTTATAAAGTTGGCAGTAATGGCGATAGCTAGCTTTCCACGAAATTCCTTTCTTTTAAAACCTTACAAGGAAAAACAACAAGAGTTGATTAATACCTTTTTCCCATGAGAAATTTTGGCATTTACCCAAGAACTCAGGTGGAGTTACAAAGATTGTAAATTAATTTGGAGCCAGAAAACTCTCAAATATTTGTTCTTCTCTCCTAGCATTTTTCTATTATGTCCTCTTTTAATTGAACCACATCTCCTCTAATTATATAATTTCCTGCATCAGATTCTTAAAACTGACTCTCTTCATTTTTCCACTGGACAGTTCTACATATTTCATATCCAGGCAAACATTTATTTACAAATCTCCTAAAGAGTTTACTTGTTTTGCTAAAAAAATTCTTAGTGTTACCTGTTGTGACTATTCTACCACATTCCTCTGGTACCTTGCAACCTCAGAATTCATCATGTCCATTAGATTGACTGATTTTTTTTCTCCTAGAGTTGGGTAGCACAACTTTCTGTAGTGATATTAAGTTCAAATGTTCTAACATAAAGTCCAGTAGTTTCAAAGAATTAAATGTGCATCTAATTAAAGCCCAATAGGAATAGGCATAAAGATGTTTGGTCATATGACATAACACAGGCTGTTTAACTAATGTTTCACTGGCAAAAGCCAACTTAGAGTTGTGATACTTATTATTATTAAATTCCTTTTAAAATATTTAACAGCTGGTACAACAGGATCTTTCTCTCCTTCCATTTGGTTATTCTATACCAAATTCACAATGATTATCTTTTTAAGTCAAATTATTGCTTCCTAAAGTAATTACATAGCAAGTATTGTGCATATTCATTTTGTACCCCTGCAGAATTGTGATCCAAATAGCATAGTATGCCCTTACTGGAACAATGAAAAGTTTTGCATTAGAGTTTGCAATTTAAAAAGTGCATGTCTTTTTCATTTGCTAATAGCCACCTATATTTTTAAAAGATAAAAGTGTAATAATTTTTAAAAGTCTGATTTACTTTATTGTTCTTCATAAAGAAAGAAATGAGCAGGCTCTTTATTTCCATTTTAGATATTTGTTCAATTGAATTTTGATTCTATTTATAACATACCTTCCAAACTATTTCTTCGGCCATCAGCTCCAATTATGACATCAAATTCGAATTCTGATAAGGGATGATCCATTGGAAAAAATTCAGCTCTCCAACCTATTTCTGAAATCAAGAGGTTAGTCAGCAAGTGTATGTCAATAATATGTATAATGCAAATCATGTTAAGAAAAGTTTGGAAAAACTTCCCTACTTTCTTCTAGTTGATTTTTTAAAGATTCAATTTATTAAAAATATGCATTATAGAAAATACAGATAAATTGTGATTTATAAGAGAAATATATACTATGTTTATAATTTGTGAAAAAAATTACATATTTATTGCAAATTCTTTTACAGTTAAAACAATCAAAAAAATGGAACAGACAACATAATGATTGAATATAGATGATTATATCCATCCATACCACTTCTGTGTTAAACAATAATCAAGAATACATGAAGAAAATTTACACAAATTTGATCATGAACCTAGAGGGAGTTTCTGTAAGTCTAACATATTTATTCTACTCAAAAGTGTATCATGATGTTACAAACATTTATAAGCAAGAAGATTCCGTTTTTATGCTAATCAAAATTTAATTAGTTGCTAATTAATTAGTTAATTAATTCCTGAGAATTTAATTAGCTTCTTTGTTCAATCCATCCTTAACTTCTTTGGAAAAGATTTTCAGAGTCAAACCTTCAGTTTGAGAGAAGGAATATGGTACAATATCTGCTCTAAAACTTAACATTAGTCAAAATAAATAAAATACACAAAAACATGAATTTATTCAGGTCGCATATTCAGATACACATAAAATGGAAAAATAATTTTGTTTCAAATCAAAACAAACACATACTGTTTCAGAAGTTTTCCTTAACTGTGGGTGGACAATTGTTCAACAACAGAAATCCAGAAGGATTTCATTGTTTGAAGATATGGTTGAGACAAACTTTTGAAAGGTACTAAGGATTGCTTTCTTCTCCTACTGCACATAGCTTAAGCCACACCTTTCTTCTCTGCTTCCCCTTATGCTGCTTTTGAAGCCAAGGATATTAGCAGGGAAATAGGGAAAGAAAACATTGGAAAAGATGGGGACAGAGAGGCTAGTTGTGTATGCTGTCCTAGAAGTCAGGATGAGAGCTATCCAACCAGTCCTTCCATTGACTTGACTTTTCTCATGCCTTCCTTTACTTAGCAATCATGTATTACCATTAACTTTGGCTTTCTCTACAAACATTTCTGCCCAAAACACAAGTTTCCAACTGTGCCTAGTTCAAGTTACAGAGTTTCACTACAGATACAAATAAAAAATACATATTATGCTCTGGACACAGACTAGCCACAAAGAATGTTTTGCACACCTCTACAGATATAATCACTTGCGCCAAAAAATAGTATCCTGTTTTCTAATATTAAAAAATTTTGCTGTGAAATTCCTCCTTTCAAAGAAACACAACTTACTTTGATTTTCTTGATCTTCAGGAGGTTCCAAAACTTTCACAAATTCTAAGTTCACATGGATTTCAACTCCCAGCAGCAGTGCAATCTTGAAGAGGGTAAGCTGAAGTTGTCTAATGCCTACGAAAAACAAATGTTATATGTGTTTTTGATCATAGCACTAGCACTAGCACTAGCACTTAGACTTATATAACGCTTCATAGCGTTATATGGCACAGCCATCTCTAAGCAGTTTACAGAGTCGGCATATTGCCCTCAACAATCTGGGTCCTCATTTTACCAACCTCAGAAGGATGGAAGGCTGAGTCAACCTTGAACTGGTTAGATCTGAACTACCAAATTGCAGGCAGCCAGCAGTCAGCAGAAGTAGCTTGCAGTACTGTATTCTAACCACTGCACCACCTCAGCTCCTGCATCATACATTATTTACCATGTATTTTCATTCTGGAAGATATTTAGGAAGTTTTTTTTTTATTGAAAAAGTTTTAAAACAAACACAATTTCCCCACAACCCCCCCTCCCAACCCCCCTCCCCCTCCCCGACTTCCCAGAGCAGAACACAAGGTATTTCTATTGACCTTTAACAATAAACTAAATTGCATAACCAATCATTAAACTAACACCCCCTAAAAAAAAAATTCTTAACCCCCCATATATAAAATCCTATTTCTTAAACATAATACTTCTAATATCACTTATATAGCGCTTATACAAATAAAAGAGATCATTCATAAGCTATTTGATATTTTTTGGTCTGATACTTATTTTGTATATAATCAATCCATCTTCTCCAGTCCTGTATATACCTTTCTTGTGTATGATCCTTCAGATATGCTGAAATTTTAGCCATTTCAGCTAAATTAGTTACTTTCAATATCCAATCATCAATAGTAGGCAAAAAGTCCTTCTTCCAGTGTTGTGCTACCAAGATATTTAGGAAGTTTTTTAATGGTTTTCTTTTAATGTTAAAAAAGGATCTACTCCTATAAATTGGAATCCCATTCCTGTGTTTTAGGATGAATAATCCAGATTGTAAATGGAGGCTGTAGTTGAACTCTGACATATACATCAAGTCCTATTGAATAATTGTACATAAATACTAAATGTAAAGATAATTGTTGTCCATTTATATTGTTAAAACTCTGAAGGAACTTTGGCATCCAGGTTAGATAAAAGGCACTTGAAAATACTGACAGGAAGCACACACTGTGAAGGAGTTGCAATGTTCTAGGTATTAAAGCACTTATTTTGTCTTCTTCCAAAAATACCTGTCAAAGTCTTTATCTGCAGTGGATCTTGCTTTCAGGATTTGAATCCACTGTAATAAATGTTATATCATATCAGGAAGAGCTGCAAATCTGCATGCCGTTAACTATTCAACACACTACATCTACATCTTGGTATTAAGTTGCAGCTAATATTTCTAAATAAAAAAATATTCACCATGGGTATAATGTGCCTCCATTTTCCTTTTCAGAAAGAAACAATGATGTAATTATGACTTACTAATGTGATCAATCGATCCGGCACAAAATTTTCCATAAAATTTTTTAGCTCCCAGACTTCGAAGATCATGAATTGTAAACGGCCAGAGGTGAAGTACATTGTTTCTTGAAAAAGTATCTCGTTTTTCTACGACAACGACTTTGGCTCCAAGAAAGGCAAGTTCTATGGCAGTTCGCAAGCCACAGGGACCACCTCCAACAATCAAACACTGGAAAAAACAAATAAGAAGAAAATTGCTTATATTTAGGAAAATTAAAATTTACACTGTCCTGCACAGCCAGCACATCTAAAACTTTGAGAGAAGCTCATCCTAATCACTTAAGTTAGGAAAAGTCACGAGCAAAATCAATTCATATCAGGATGGATAAATTTTTTTTAAAAAAAATCAGATTTTTAAAATTTAAATCAGGTTTTTTTAAAATCAAATTTATTTTAATAAAATGGTTTTGGAGTAAAAATCTATCTAAAGATAGTTTTCTATTTAAGATGCATTAATAGTTTATTCAGCATAAAATGGAGCTTAGTTACAGTATGTAGCATGAGGTTGTATATTCTGCAATATTTACATTTTTGGTAAACTCATTTAATGAATCCAAGCTCTGCAAGCTATATAGGAAACCTTCATTTTGTTTGCAAATAATAATATTAAAGATTCTAACTACCAGCAAGAATGAGTCCTTACATTTAAAGGGCACCTGTCATTTCAGATCCATCATGGCAGCGCCTGTTAGCACGCATCCACTCACCTGCTGCCTGCCAAGTCCCTCACCTTGTTGTGTCACTGCCGTATCACCAGCCGTCCCATTAAAGTGAATGGGACTGTGGGTGAATCAACAGCGGGTCAAAGGAGGAGCTGCTGCGGGACAGAGATGACAGTTGCTTTTAAAAAATTATGATTTAAATCGAGTTGATTTAAATCAAGCCTTTTTACTAGTGATTTAAATCGAGTTGATTTAAATAAAATCCACCTTTTTTTTTTCCGACAAAAAAGTGTTGAAGATCAAAGTATAGGGTAGACGAAATAAAGAAAGATGGAAATTAAGTATTGAATAAGATTTAGTTAAAATATATGAAAATAGATTTATATAGAAAGAAAGGATCACTTCGAAATAGCTGTAAGAAAAAGTGATTTGTATATAAATGTTGTGTGTCTGTGTCTTGTTTTAATGTATTTAAAATAAAATAATTTTTTTTTAAAAAAATAAATAAAATCCACCCTGATTCATATTACGTATAGGGTTTGAAATATTAAGACTGAGCACCCGATTCAAAGCCACACTTGGCTATGGAAGTTTTCAAAGTGACTGTGGGCCAAAGCCACTCTCAGTCCAATGTATTTAACAGAAATGTGATTGTGTGAAAAGACAAAATGTTATGCCTGCTGCCTTGAATTTCTTGATTTATAAAGTCTATTAAAATAATAACTCCATACAAAATATACTTCCTCAAAAACCTGCCATTTAATTCAGAGGTGGATCCTTTGTGGTTGACTTTCCACCAATGGTCCAATTACATGTTCTTAGTTGTTCTCCTTCATTAAAATAGTAGTATACAACTGTAATCCAGATACTAATTTCTTCCTGTAAACTCCCCTTTCTAAAGCTATTTGCTCCAAAATTGCTTTACTCTATGTAGTAAACAGCACTTTTGAGCACAGAAGATGGATATATAGGTGGAAAATAACTCACAGCTAAACCCTTCCTCAGCTGCTTTCCCTTCACAAGTAGTTAAGTCAAAAACAATATTTGCTTCAAACTCTACAGTACATTCAATAGTATGGCATATATCAGTGAGTTTTATAAATGTCTATTATTTAAAATAGTACAGCTTTTATCTTATTTAAAAGTGTGTTGTGCAGTCTCTGTAGAAACCTTCAGAGCAATGAACTGAACCAAGTAGCAAAGCCAGAAAAAACAAAAACACAGTGGCAAAAAAAAAAAAAAATTCATGAGAACAAGAACACACAATGTTGGACACAATAAATCAAGTTGTAAACATGTGTGCCTGCTTTATAAGAAAATACCAAATTTTTCATTCTGCCATTCTCCTGTATCCCATGTTTTTGTCAAAGTAATGGTTTATACTATATTAAAGTTGCCCAGATCCTTTGAAAGATATTCTTTGCAAAGCATGGGAACATGAATGAAGCATCTCTCTTCAAATCCTTAAAACAGCTGCATCTTTTTCAGGGTTATCAGTTGTCCCTGTATGTGGGTGCATGCAAAACCTCTTTGGTTTGCTTTCTTTTCAGCAAAATAATTATTCTTCAAGCAAGGTAGCTTTCAAAACTTTTTGGATCAAAGAGAGATGGAAGTGGTTCCTTGATGCTAACCAAGGTGGGAATGTTATCCATTTATCTATAGCAAATTCAGTCAGCTGTTCTCTTTTCACACACTGATTTTTTTTGCTGCAAGTCAGCCAAGGCAAAAGCACCAGAGCAAACCTGATAACAGCCTTAAAGTAACCATTTACTTTAAAAATATAATTCTCTCCTTTAAATTCCAATTTTGCAAACAGAAGAATGAGTTAAATGGAAGGCATTTCATAAACCAGGCATAAATCCAGACTGAAGCTAATATAAGCTGTCTGTCAGTCTATGAGCCCAGAATGACGCTATTGGGTCTGTTTTTCTGACTGTTCTCCTTATTGAGTCTTTGCCTAGCACTTTGTGTCTTATTTACTCCCTTTCATCATAAATGGATTAACTAGATTTGGAAATGGAGAAAAAGCCTGGAATCAGTATGTAGTACAAAGTTAGGTCTGTAGAGATTCTCAGTCATCCAGGTCATGATTGTCCCAAAGGTGCTTTTTCCCAAAGTTCAGTTGTTTTCAGAAACAGCACCTTTGGTACAAAGTTAGGTGTTTGTACTGTATATTAAATGGTTTTTCTTTATGTATCTTCAGAGTTCAATGTAACTGAGAACTAATTTGTTCAGTCTCCTTCATAATTTGCTAAATACAAGACTCTAAACACTACTATGCTTAATGCAGTTAAGATCTATATTGTTTTTTATTCTCTAAATATTTTAATGTGAATGGCAAATAACACATGTATTTTGCATTTTAGTAGGAAATCTTGATAAACAAAACTACAAAGCAAGTAATTTAATGTAAATATGTTAGATGGCAATCTCAGATTGTGGCATAAAATAGTTGCTAACCACATGCCTCAGAGAAAGTAGGTGGTGTTTATCTTGCGACTGCTCAAAAGAATTATAAGCGATAAAAGAATATTCCTTGAAAAACCAAAGTTTGAATGAGTCACTTTTTATAACTGGAATTGTTTGTATATATGCACACACAGATGCATACGCACATCTTTGCCTGGCAGGCCGGAATAGATTAAACCATTTATGGTGTGCATGTGTTGAGTACTGTTAAACTGTGTATATAACTCTTTAGCAATGTTTGTTAGAACTCAGAGTTCTCGTGTGAATCATAACAAAAATGTGCTGACAAATCATATCAACCTCTGCCAACTGTTTCTTCAATCTTGATAGTATCTGGACTAGATAATATTGATCCATATAATTAGGTCAACTGAGCCAGTTTTATGATAGCAGCTGACACAAAGTATCTTTGTAGCTTTATCTCAGCCCTTCAAGGTAGACTAGACTCGGAAATCAAAGTTTTAAGAATGCTAATACTACTTTTATTATAAAGTTACATTAACAGAATTTTTGAAGTCTGAATCACTTCTCACATCCCTTTATCTTTGTGAAAACTAGAAAGGGCCATATCTGAAATACTTTTTCAAATTACATTCCTGTTCCAGACTCAGATTTCTCTTATCTGACCTTTGTCTTGGTTCTGGCTCTTCCTCTTGTTAAGGTTATTCCTTCTGCCTATTATACTTTAGTATATGCTAAATCTACCTACCTTAGTAAGAGCAAAATTTACCTATGAAGAAATAGCTACCTGCAAAGAATGTGTTAGGTTTCATAGAGGAAAGTAAGCATAGGTTGTTACATTAGTACTTGGGGTTTATTTTCTGTTTCTTCTGCCAGTGATAATAAGAACTGTTTTCTGGGTCAGAATCCACCTCCACCACTCTACAGCCAGGTATATGAAGCCAGGTATATATCATATCATACAGATTGATGCCTTATATTTACATCCAAGGAAATACTTTAAGTAAGCACCAATTTGTTCCAACTTATATAGCAGATGTTATCAGATAAATTTATCTCACTCCTGATGTGAACTACAAAGGATTGTTTTAAAGCAATACTGTAGATGCCAATGTCCTTAAGGAAAAAGCTCCTTTGTTCATATTAGTGCACAGGAATGCAGGGAAACATACCTCCAAGTTATTTTTGAGACAGGAACAAAGTCATCTGCTGGGACACTGGACTGAATAGATTGTATTTGGTTTGGCAAGTAAATTAAGCAAGTTGTGTGCATTTCTTATTAAAAGCTGTTAAGAAAGCTGCACTCAGAATTTAGTACTCCCAAATTTAATAGGACTTTGTTCTAAGAACCTATACGTAGGATTAGAGCTATGCCCCACAATTTTTGTTTAATATAGAATTTGGGCCTTTTTAAGACAAAGTTTTAAATCTAAAAATAAAATCTGTGTCAAATATGTTTAAGTTAAGCACTACCAGATATTCTGTGCCACCTATCAGAGTGACAAAATAGTTTAAGAGTTTTATTAAGCATGGTTATAAATTTTGCTCACAGGTAATTAACATTCTCTTTAAGTAATTCTGAATGTCATTTTATGTTGATAAAAGAGCTGTTTTGCTTCACGTTACATTAAAAAGTTAAACATTCTCATTTAACAGGCTTGATCCATTATATATTTTAAATAAATGTTAATACAGCAAAATTAATATATCTTTTCTAAACTGTAGATATTTTAACTATTGTTGGGCAAAGTATTTTGTTTCTATGGCATTTCTGTAAAATTCTGTTCCAAAGCAAAATCTACCCTTTCCCTCCTTCCCTCCCTCATATATTGACCTATGCTTGGTTGATTTAAAATCAACAAAAGGCAACATCACCTGGCTTCAATGGAATTTAATACATGAGCCCTATTGCTACATACATAATCATGATTCTATTTCAATAAAGGCATCCAAAGGTCTAAATTAATTAGGGTGAATGTCCTCACCATAAAGCACTGCAAAAGAGATTGTTACCATTTATTTTTCCAGTCCTCTGCATTGTCAAATGAGGTGTAGTGAAAATTCCTTGTCTTAAGAG